TTTCTCCAAGTGTTAGTGCAGAGGCCAACCTCCCTGGCTTCATTTTGTCTAAATATCTGAACACACTTTAATTACTATCCACATTCTCCATCAGTCACACCTTGACCTTGTTTAGAGATACAGGAGGTGAACATACTGTTCGATCGGAGAACGGAAAGGATGAGCCTGAGAGGAGTCCCTGGCCAAACAGGATCGGCCAGGAATGTTAGGGAAAACATGGTGCTTAAGAGTGCTGAAGAGTGAGATTGAAGAGTTAAGGTGTGGTGAGCATAGTAAGTAGAATAATGTAAGATAAAGAGAGAGAACTGGGTGGCATCAATTTAATCCCATTGAATACCCCAGTGCCTGGTGATGAGTAAAGACAGTGGATGAAGAGTTAGTGAGGGTGATGACCACAAGCTAGAGCAGAGCCCAGGGAAAACTGGCAGAGGGAAGAGGACCGTGCGGTCTTCCCCAGAAGGGGACTAACATGTAAGAACTAGGACCCGGAGGGGGAAGGGGGGGGGGGTCTGACAGAAGAAGAAAGACCACTAACGTTAGGAAACAATAAGGCGACACACTGGCAGAGCTGGGACGTGGAAGGAGTGTGACCAGTGAGTGCCAGCGTTTGTCACATCCAGGTGTGTGCTTAAGTAAACCAGGACTCAGGAACTGTCGTGTACTGGAAGGGGGGTGACGGCAAAATAACCCCTGACCCTGGAAGAGGAAGGCTTGTCTGAGGGTGCTTCTGTAGCCACTGCAGGGGGTTTAAGGCTAAGAGCACAGCCTACAGCCCACTGCCCCTTCTTAGTTGTTAAGGCAGTCATATCAAACACAAAGTAAGGCAGTAGTGACAAAGTCATGTAGGGGGGGGGAAAGAGGTCAATTAATGGAAATATAAATTGTGTTTGCTGGTGTTTTTTTTTAAACGGCAATCCCTGCTCTTGTTTTTTCAGACTTTGCCCTGCCGTTTCTTGTCATTGCTCAAGGTTTCCTGTTCAGCCCCCATCGAGCCTGTTTTCAGTTTGACTGCGCACGCAGCTGCCCTCACTTCCTCTCGCCGCCTGCAAGCCATGTCTGCTGAGGCGCCGCCGCGATGGCACCCCGCAAGCCTCCTGCTGCAAGCCTGCTTCGTCCTTCTGTCCGGTAAGACTGGGGTGTCTCTCTCCCCCCCCCGGCTCTGGCCTTTGTCTCTTGCTCGGTTTGCCGAGCGCCTGTGCGCTGCCCCGGGTGAGTTTGCAGCACAATCTCGCCGGCGGGGGCCATTGCCAGCCCTGTCAGCAGGTGCTGTCGCGCTGTTCTGTCTCTGAGGGACACCTTCCTGATCCCATTTCAGCAGCAGACTCCGGCTAGGTAGTGGAGTAACCATAAACCCATCGGCCCTTCCTCGTAGATGAAAACGGCGCTCTTTGCACTGTGATGTGTGGAAAAACAAGGGACCGTGATATTTAAGTCATGATGTGTATTCAAAAGAAACGGAGAAGAAAACAAACTGAAACTTAGCCTATGTTTAAACATAAGTATGAGTAGAATTATCGCAGCACGCTTTCAGAAATTTAAATTCAACTGTTTAAATTTAAAACATCTCTTTATGCTGCCTATTAGGCACCACCAGAGCTTTCACTGTACAGCTGGGGCCCTCTAGTGACACAAGGTGCTCAAGAGGGGTCTTTCCTTTTCCAATCCCCAGATCTGTGCTGGTGTAAAGGCTTTGAATGCAGTGTGTGTACCTCCTCATATGTATGAGTCACCACACCACGAGAAAGGATTGTACTTCAAAATATTTTTATCTGGTTTCATCTCCTTTTTAGAGGGTTTTTAAGTTAAAAATCCATACTTTATTGTTAATTTATTTTGCTGGCACCTTCAGCTAAGGTGACATGCATTCAATGAACTATAAAAAAACAAAAATTTGAAAACAAAAATAACGTAAAAAAGTGCTGACAATTTAGCGAATGCATTGATATACTTCGTGTTGGAGATAAAATGAAAATACAGTTCATGAGAAACACTAGACCACCTCAATATTTTCAAATGTTTTGGTTGTGGTCTTCCTATTAACAATGAAAAGGCAAAAAGTAAATAGAAAGAAAGTGTTACACCAATAACATGAACCAACAATCACGCTGTGCATCTGTAGTTCTAACTACAAAGTCTTTCATCTGGAATTTTGTTGTTTTACAAATCTTCTGAATCTGAGACAAAACACCCCTTGGACAATGTAGTTATGAAGACTACCTTTGGTTTCTTCCATCTTGTCTTATTTTTGTATTTTCTATTCCAAAAGAGTCATCACTTGTACTACTAACACACGCTCATACTTTTGTTTCTGACAGTGAAAGGCTTGAGTTTATTGGGGCCGTATAAAAATTGTGAATGGTTAAAATGCAGTGCATGCTTCAGTAAAAATACTGCAGCTAAGTCTAACCCCCAGTCCTAACTGTATATGGACCACTAACATTAAAGTGAACTCTTCATGTGTATGAAGTACATGCAGGTTTAGAGCAGTGGTTATTCTGACTGATGATCTCCACTATGAACAGCAGCTGTGGTCCTGTTGAATTCACTGGCTCCTGCAGCACTAAGCAGCTGGGGGAATACTAGTTTACTAGGTGAGACGCTCTTCTGAGAAACGAAGTTAATCCGTCACAGGTCAAACCCCCAGCGATCCCCAGTGAGTTACACAGCAACGGGGATAAAGAACCTTGTTCAGGACGGAGACAAGACTGAGCAAACATCAGAGCCCTTATCATCGTGCCACATTTCCACACGTGATCCTGTGGACTCGCACAATACAACACAACACAACACAACGTACAACTCAACCATAGCCAGACGTCTTGAGTGTTGGGTAGGGTGTTTTTTTTTAAAAGTACTCAATTACAGTCAGTTGTTTCGATTACAACTGACTGTGATCATTAGTTTAGTGACTAGTTTTTATTATTATTGTGATTAGTTTTTTAAATCAAGAAGAAGTTGGAGGAAATTGCATTTATATAGCATAATTTAGAATATACTCTCCTACCATCTGAAAGGAGGTACCAGGTCCCCTGTATAAAGACTAAGTGAGCATTTAATTAATTTATACCTAAAAGCATTAAATTCTTGAAAAACAAAAAGATTGCTTGGAGGTAGAGATCTTATTATTATTGTTTTAGACACTTTATCAGCTAATCCTCTTTTTTAATCTCGTGATACTGGATTGAGTTCTGACTGAGCAATGTTGTTGAACGTTGTTTTATATCATGGTTTTCTACTGTGTCTTTCTCATGTATGTTATATGTTATGAGCTCTTGATGTGCAATTCAATTCCCCTATAATTTTATAAAAGAACTAAGCACACACTATATACGGTACCTCATTATGACTGAGAGGCGGACCGGTGGCTCTGTGGCTCAGGATCTGCGCCTGTGGCTGGAAGGTTGCCGGTTCGTATCCTGCAGCCGGTAGAGGAATCCTATTCTGTTGGGCCCCCTGAGCAAGGCCCTTCACCCCAACTGCTCCAGGGGCGCCGTATAAATGGCTGACCCTGCGCTCTGACCCCCAGCTTCTCTTCCTATCTGTGTGAGCAAGATGGGGTATGTGAAAAGACAAATTCCTCATACAAGAAGTTGTATATGGCCAATCAAGTGATCTGGTCTTATCTGAGGACCTTTGGAAATGATTGACTACTTGCTTGCTTCAAACATCAGTGCCAGGGGTAGCTGGTGACTGTAATGGCCTGCTTGTGAGACGCGAGTTTCCTCCCGTCTCTTCTCTTCCGCTCAAGGCGCGCTGGTGGAGGGGGATCTGATGGCAGTGAACCTCACGGCGGCGGTGGGGGGGCCGGCCACCCTGAGCTGCCCGCTGGCCCGAGAGGAGACTAAGATACTGCAGGCCGAATGGAACAGGTGCAACGCAGAAAAGATCCTAACTTTCCATCAGGAGTTTGGAGTGCACACGTGGGAGGCATACAAAGGCCGCATCTCAGCCGCCGACAACACCAGCTTCACGCTGGGAGAGGTGACAAGGAACGACTCGGGAGAGTACTGCTGTATCCTCACCACGTTCCCGGATGGAAAACTGGAGGGCAGGACCATTCTCCAGCTCGGAGACCGGCTCAGAGGTAGGATGCTGGAGATGTTTTTTTTTCTGAATCCTAAAACAGCTCGGTGCCTTTGTGTTCACCTGGTTGCTTCTGAAGATATTCCAGCTGCCTGTATTGTTGCTCAGGTTTTCCTTTTCTGCATGCACACAGGGAAAAGCAGCTCATTCCGAGCCTTTACTACTGTACAGTAGGTGATGATGTTATTCTTTGGTCAGTAGAGACCCAGTTTGAAAGTAGACACCATCTACGTCTAGTACCCTGAATCAAATAAAAGGCAAATAACATCATCAGAGAAGGAGGCTTTTAGTGCTTATGTCTGAGACTGTGTAGACACACACCCACATATATTTTTACACCTGTTTCACCAAGCAACTTTAGCAATGCCATGCCAATAAGGGTAAGCAGCTGTCTATGGCTAGATATGACTATTTAGACAAAAAGAAAGATGGAAAATGTAATACTGCAAAAGATAATCAGAGTTTGCAATCCCATCATTCATAGAGAATGCATGTTCATAAGACACTGTATCTAGAAAGTTATGTTCTCCAAAACATATGTATATAGTGTATACAGTAAGCATAAAAATAACGTTTCTGTCCTACATTGCACAGTTTGTATTATAAGAAAAAACAATCTTTTAGGTAGCAGCACCGACGACATTGTATTCAATAGGCACGACACTGGCAAATTCATAGAGCTGATTAATGTTGGTCTCCTGTGAGAGGCACAGATTACAGCCATGTGTGGCGTCCACTGGAAGTACAGCCAGCGGTAGGTCTGCTACACCTGTTTGCACCAGGTTGCAGGTGGTTCTGTCCCGCTCCCCTTGTAGAGCCTGGGCAAGCAGGTGCTCGTTCACTGGAAGATTAAACACGTTATCCCAGCTCATCCCTCAGATGCTCAAAGGGGCACGTAGGGCATCACTGCAATATCCTCGTCACTTAAGAAAGAACAGCTCGCACAAGGCCGAGGGCGCGATTAGTTGTGCTGGATTGCTATGACATCAAGAGCAGGAAGTGAGATCTTCTGACTTGGCTTGATCAGTCACTCCAAGAGGGATTCTGTGGGATGAGACACTCCTGCCCAGACCCTCTCTTTGATTCTGGGGAGGTGTCTCACATCATGGCCTGTCGCTGTGATGTCTGTGTTTGGCCGCGATGTCGTCCCAGGTAAGAATATCCCACACAGTGAGTAACACTACACTTGTCCGCCTCCAGAATACTGGTTCCTTTCTACGTTTTTGATTGAATCTCGATTGTCAGCCGGCTTGACAGTCAACATCACCTGTGACTGAGGTGACTTACACTCAGTCATAAATGATCAGTTAATCAAAATGATCCCCAAAGCGTGATACCCAGAACCTGCGTTACGTACATTGTATTTCTGCAAAATCACTCGCAGGGATGGACATTAAAGGCTTTTGACACTCCGTATAAATATAAAGAGACAATACAAATGCAGAGGATGACGAATTAGAATATACATATCCGGTCTTTGAAGTCTCTTTTCACAGCTCTCTGCTCTCGGCTTTTTGAACAGCAATGTTTTCTTATGTTTTCTGATGCTTATTTATAACCAATTACAATAAGCGACCCACGCTTTCGCTCGTGACAATTGCCTTTTTAGCCCCGTGATGTTATTTTAAAACGAGCGCCCACTGCTCTGTCAGTACCTCGGCGTGATCAATGCTCTGCTTCCACCCTTGAGAAGCATCGCTGTTTTTCTCTCTCGTGACCTGCTACTGAATAGCACGCGTGCAACATGTCGTCACGCGGAGTTAACCAAAGGGTCGCCGACACTGCAGTACTGGAGACCGAAAACAGAACCTGAAAAAAGCAGATTTAGTCAAGATGGGGAACAGACTTTCTAGTGATTTTGCTGGGTTTGCATTGCGCTTACTGTTAAACGATAGATTATAAAATGTATACAAAGCAGCACATTTAAATGTAACCTTCATACCTTTTTTTACAATATGCCATCTAATTTAACTTTCCTTCTCAAATACATGTTGACGTTCATAACTTTTTTTTTAACCAGTCATCTTCCTTTAATTTCTGATAAACTAGAAAGGCGCGAGAGAGAGCTGCCCCGTCAAGTGTCCAAAACAGTGCAACGTGATTCATCAACAGCTGTAAATTAATTTACAACCCGATTAGGTGTTACTAACTTAATTCATCTAAACGACCTACACGTTGAATGCTGAGTGTCGAAATAATGGTTGAGCCCTCCTTACTTATCTGCTCTGTTTCATAGCTACAGATGCGCCATCTCCTGCCCTTCTGAAGACGCCCTATATTGCGGTGCCTGTGCTCGGCGGACTGGTGCTCTTCGGTGTCATCGCCTTGGTCATTTACTTCCAGGTATGTCACAGCGCTTCTTCAACACTTGAGCTGGCCGGCGTTGCGAAAGTAAAACCACGGCAAACAAAATTCAAGTCTACCGACGACCCCGCATCACGAACAAGTATCGCGCGTAGCAAAACTCGCGGATTCTTTGTAAAAACCGAATCAGGGCGCCCCTGCTCCTAGTTCTGCTTAAGACACTTTAATTAAAACAAGTTTTTTTTTTCCCTAGTAGTAGTGACTCATCTCAAAATATGTTATTGTTGTGAGTCAGAAGCACCATTTGTGCCTTTAAGAGTTGGTTTTCTGAGAAATTGGAGTTCAGTCGAAGAGTCTATGGTGGCTTAGGCCGCGCTATAGGCAGGCCTGTGTGACAAGGGAACTTGTGGTGTCTGCAGCCTGCTGAGCTGCTCACCACATTTGTGAAGACAGTTTCCTTTTCAATGGGGACCGACCGGCTCAATACCCAGTACGGTTTAACTCGAGCAACTTCAGAGCCGCTTGTAAATGTCCCTTCTGCAAAACGCTCCAGAACTTGGGACTGTGTCCTTGGTAGGCGTTGCATCTAATTATCACCTGGCAATCTGTGTCTGTATCCGATTTCCAAGGGGATACCGAATTGGATACGGCACCGGCTCAAACGTTTTCCTAAACTCCTTCAAGTAAACGCGTGCTTCCAGTAAACCTACAATGAATACATTACATTAAATCCTGTTGAAAATATATGATAGAGAAAGCAACACTTAAATACATGAATACAAGAGGAGGAGAAGTGTACATTTTAGTGAATGGATTTAGTGAAACGTTTTTTTTTTGCATAAGTTTTCATTTAAGTCTACTTTGGCATCAAAAACTCATCATGTGCAAAAGGTCTAGGCGCGGTGTCCCTCTAGTGGCCTGACTCCGGCATTACACCGACCCTCGCCAGACAAACACGGACAAGCAGCGCGTTGTCTTTCGGAGCCGCTTCAGATTTTTCTCCCACCGATACCTCCCGTTTCGTAGCTCGGTTTAGCCAATATAAAATGTTTTCCACGTTAAGTCTCTGTTATGCGCCTGAACCCTTTAAGTCTTTAGGAGGCGCGGTAGGGTCAACGCTGCACAGGTGCCAATCTGGGCTCTGGAACAGGACAGCACGGCCGCCACCGCCACCGCACGGGCGCTGAAACTTTCCCCGTTGTGTCTTCCAGCGGCAGAACCGCCCCATTAGAAACCCAGTTCACGTGGCCGTCCACACGGGAAGCTCCCCAATCGTCCAGCAGTCCTTCATCGGGAAGGGTCCCCAGACCGCCCCCAGCCTGCCGTCCAAGGCCAGCGACGAGCCAGAGGAGGAGGAGGACACCTCGGAGGACTACTTCAACGTGCTGACCGCCCGGCCGGCCAGCGGCGGCCACCCCTGAGCCAGCGGCCTCAGACAGGCTCCCCCCTTCCCCCCCCCATGGCTGTCAGACAGCAGCACCCCCTGGTGACCTGTTCACCGGCCAAGCGGCCCGCAGTGGAGATGGCTGAGGTTTAAAGACTTACTGTAATACAGGTTGAACGTTGTCTAGGTGTAAATAGCCTGTTCCACTGCATCACTAAAAGGCAGCTCAGTCTCCTGTGTCTCCAGGACTGTAACTGGGGTAACGCACATACTTACGTGCTTCAACTGCAGGAAAAGTGCAGCGGTGGAGGTTGTAAATCGGCAACACGCAGTACCAATGCTTCTGTAAATATGAAAAAAGCCTAGTGTACATTGTAGGGCACAGTCAAATCGGACCTGCACAGCCCTTGCTCGTTACTGATTGGCAAAACTAATGGACACCACTGTAATCTTGCTCCTACAATGGCTGCAGTAGTGTGTTTGCTGGGGAGTCTTTGTTACATTAATTAGGGTCCCCTGGACCTCAGCCACCAATATGGCTGAAAGAGGTAAGTAAAGGAGGATCTTGAGGCGTCTAAGGGGTGGTAACTGGATTTAGAAACCACATAGAGGTAGAGTGGACCACAAAAGCACCACCTACATCTTTCTTAAGACTACTTAGTCTCCAAAGGAGACAAAAGGAAAAACATCTTCCAGGGGACAAGAGCCAAGAGAGGAGAGAGCTGCAGGGTACAGTCGGTTACCACTGGACTCTGGCCTGATGGACAGAGGTAGGAGGCACAGAGAGGAGCTCTTTTTCTGGACTGGTGAAGCGATTTCAGTTTCCACTTTGAATCGGCCCTGCTGCATCTTGTCTGGATGTATTTTACTAGCGGCCAAGGACGTTTCCTTTATAACCACACATGAGAGAGCAGGCTCACATGGAGGATTAGTTGTTTTATGAAAGCAGTCTCAATCCTTCAAAAAAAAAAAAAAAAGAGACTAAAAGATACTAAGAGACTGGTATCCCTCTCAGAGTACGTCAGGTTAGGCAGCAGTGTGGAGGCTGGATCTAAAGATGTTGGTCTTGCACCACATTCCTATTGTAAATATAGCCAGCATTAGTTTAATAAATGGTTGCCATTTTTCTCCCTGTTACCTTGCATGGTATGCTTTTGCAAGTACACTCCCTTCTCAAACTTAGGGCTATTTCAACCACAATCCCCTCATATAAAAGTAAGAGCAAGTTCAATACATTGGTGCCTACCCTATAAAGCACAAGAACTCCATTTAGAATTGAGCTTATTTTAGACTAAGCTTTCAGCTGTCTCACCTCCAAGTCTTTTTTTAAAAAAAGAGCACAAATTAACAATCAGGCACAGTGCACGTCTGATCTGGCAATACAGTGCTGCTCCACACCTCAGAGGGAGAAGGTAAGAGTCCGATTCCAACCCATTAAAATTCAAACCACTGGATCTGGCACTTTTACTTTTTAGTTAAAAGGTTACAACAGAGTAACCACAGAGACCTTTACCCCTTCCCCATGGAAACATCCAGGCAGTGACATGGAAAGGGTTTGGGATTGTGTGGTTTGCAGGTAATCAAAGCTAACTTGGACTGGACCAAAATGAAATTTTAAGCCTCAAGAACTCCAAGACTAAAATGCATGTGGTGCTACCTGGAACCTTCATGGAGGCCAGCAGGACATTTCCTTCAAGGTATTGTAGGAATCAGCAGATCTTCAAATCATCCCGCCCCCCACAATCCAGTATCTAATAACTCTTCTGCATTAGAGAAGATAGCTCTTTAGAGGACTGGAGCCACAAAGGAATGTTGGCGGTCTCCATTCGGGGAGGGGGGTAGGCCGACCACTCAGCTGGGTGGTGGAGAGAGAGAGAGGTGACCCTGAACACTAACACAGACAGGCAGAGATGGAGGGCTAGTGCACAAGTTACTTAACACTGACCAACCTTTATTGCATCATACAGTTCACACTTTAAAATCCAGACCCACTGGAGTGTCTTGGGGAAATTTAAAAACGGGGAAAGCAACTCTCCTGTAGGGAGTTCTCTCCTCCATTGCTTGTAAACGAGGTCTTTGCTCGATGTCCTCCGCACTAACACTAGTTGGAACAGACCGTGGAAATTTAAACGGTTACTCATTCAGTACAAGGGATAAAATGTTAACTTCAAGCTTCCATATTCTGTTGGAGTCCTCTTTGACCCTGGTCAAATTCAAACCCACCCCTCTGAAAGACTGTCGCTGCAAGGAAACGTACTGCGGGGTGATCAGCTGTGGTGCAGCAGGAGCTGGCAGTGGAGGTGCAAGATATTCAGCAAAATACACACGCGGGCCGGTTGTTGAACAGGGGTGCGATGCTGGTTCTGAGCCGTCTGATGGAACACACGTGGTCTCTCCTGCAGAGGACGTCCGCCCCCAGGTGAGCCACACAGTTCCCCAGGGGTGACTGCCCTCATTTCCTCTGGCGCTGAGACCACTCGCTGTACCCTCCAGCATAGTGCCTGGCCCTACAGCATAGCGACAGGGAACTGGGGTTAGCCAGGCTGGCCTCCATAGTCATCAGAAGACAACAGAAAACATTCAGCACAAACATAACCAGACAAACGCAGCTTTAAGTGTCAACACCACACATTAGATAATTTTGCACCCCCCTCCCATACCATACCTTGAGCTCAAACAGACAAAGCAGAAAATTGGCTTTCAGACATTTCTGGAATTCAGGCAATATCCAGGAGATCTGTCTGCACCGAGTCAACAGTTCTCCCAAGGAGGAGAGAAATTCAAGACCTGAGGGACTGCCGTGCTGGATATTAGGGCTGATGGAGAAGAGGTTCTGGTTACATACTGGGTGTATCCCAGGCCCATCGCGGTGTGCAGGGCTATGGCACTCCTGCGCCCCGACTGGCAGTGGAAGACAATGTCAGCATCGTCCTTCTTGGGGGAGTCCACCTTGTACAGCTGTCTGAAGGTCTCTGGGCTCAGCTTCAAGGCCTCTTCTAGCTTCCCCACTACCAAGGGAATATTAAAAAGCACAAACCCATCAGCGTACAATGCTTCCTTCAAATGTGGTTTTCAAAATCTGGAGGTCCCTTTTAAAAAAAAATAAAAAAAATTGATCCATTCTGGGAACAACCTCATGGATCGATCTCATTAGCTGCTCTGCATGGATGAGTGCAAGTCTCTGCAAACACGACTTCTCCCATTTCATCACATCGACTGTGCAAACTGGAAGAGAATCAAGAACACAGCAGAACATCCCTCCAGAAAGCAGTATTTTGTCTTTTTACATGCTAAATTAAAACTCTGGTGCATTACATCAATATTCTTATACCACCTTTTAAAAACAACAAGCACTTAAATGCATCTGACAACACACCCTGGTTTTAAGTTGCATAAACTTGTGTTCAAGTGATACCTTCACTGTCCTTCCCCGAGAGGGGCTCGTTTACATTGCAGTGTTAGAAGAGCACTCTGGGTCAGCCAGGTGGATGAAAACAGCCATCGTCAAGAACAGTGGTGCTTCTCAAATATCAAAACAACTTCTCTGAAGCCATCTGGAAAAACCCTTTGCAACAAGCAGAAGCAACCACCCATCTTCATTTTTGGCATTCCAGTAGCCCTCCTGAAAGCCATACACCCATCACTCAGAAATTAAAGACAGAAGCCTGCTTTACGGACAGCCAGGCACCAGACATGAAGCAAAGCAGTATAGCTAGCATTTTATCAGAGAGGCCCTCAGGCAGATTAAACGGCAGAGTTTTCCTTTCACCGAACTGCCACACACACGCCACAATACTCACAAGGGATGTTTGTGGATCCAGGAATCCTCCCTGAAGCAAACTCATCAGGGTTTCGGACATCAAACAGCTGCACAGCGTGCCTCCCCAGCATGTCCTTCAGCTCGTCATAGGAGACCACCTTATCTGGAGGATAATCATGGCCATCAACCATCTACTCAACTCCCCAGCTGGAGCAAGCAGAAAGAGCAACACTTCTTCTAGGGGAAGAATATCTGGACGCAAGGAGTTCAAATCAAAGAGACCTCCCAAGCTCAGTACAGCTCTACAAACTACAGACTGAAATATTGTTTTGCCCTGGTGTGTTCTAGGCATGTGTGGCAGTTCTCAAGACACCACAATGGTGCAGATGGGGTTACCAGCTCCTTTAATGGTAGGATTAATATACAGTAGCAATCATTTCAGAGATGTTGCTGCTCCAGTCAAGTCCAGGTTGAGTAGCCCCAAACAAATAGTCTAGGTCAGAGGTCCTGAAGCCTGGAAGTCCAGCATCTACAGCTTTTCAGTCTAGCTGAGCTCTTAATAACCCGAATCAGCTCGTGAGTGGATCAGTTTTACCGTTCCCTGCTCTTAAAAGAAGCAGCACCTGCCGAAACGCTGGCCCTCCTCCGTCCAAGATAAGGATGGCTCAAATATTAGTCAGTCACTCTCCCTCTCACATCTTTAACGCAATTTAAGATCAAGACAAATGTGCTGTTCAATAGAATGGGAGGGATTCAAAAACGGACACGGAGAAAAATCACAGAACAAGATAACTATCCAGAAGTCAGTTCTTAAGTCTCATTTTATTATCTTAATAAGCCTCAATCAGAATTTTTTTATAACACAAATTAAAAAAAAAAATAGAAACATACCTGCCATGATTATCCACAGGAATAGTTTTTTTTAATTATTCATACACTGATAAGTTACCATGTGCACTGGTAGCTCAAATGACATGACAAAGCACAGCCGAAGAATTTAACAACATTAAAAGCAGATAAACCAGAAAGTTCAGTCCTGTGCCTCTTTCACTACCAAGTTCACTGCCACTCCGAGTATTAGGAATCCATCTGATTATCCGAGATTTGTTTCAGTCTTTATACAGCAGGGCAAGTCACAGAACCAACCCATGCAAAGCACATTCCTCAACGTATCATTATATAAATATAATAATGCAATAGCAGTGTCCCTCCTAGGATTTGAGTCCACAGTCTTCTGGTTAATAGTCCAGTTACCTAACCCCTCCTTCCTGCGAAGAATTATCCTTGCATTCAGGAAAATCCAATATCTCTGCAACAGCGCCACCATATGGTATTTAACCGTAAATGGATACCAAACACTTGATTAAGAACGAGATTGCAAAGTCAGGTCAAGTGGATTCTTGTCGGGTGACTGAAAGGAGTGTCAATAATAGAAGTACAACCACACTAGGGTATACATTAAAGAGAATGTTGCATGAAAAAGAGGCGAGAAACTCACCCAGAACTAAAAAAATAATAATTGTAAAAAAAAGTCAACAGTACCATACTGTTTATAATAGTTGCACACCTTAAATTGTGAAGTGTGGTAATGGATAAGTACCATTCAGATATTTAGAGCTTTTTCCTTCCTTTACCCAAGAACAATTTCTGACGTACTAAGAAATTGAGGACCTGTAGGACTCCCGCCACCACTAAATCTCTAAAAAAAAGCCCGATTACATCTACTTTCATGAGCTTAAAGGAGGCAATCCTGAATTTACCCACAACTCACCAGTAAATCAGATCTCCCCCCCACCGCATACACACTGAAAAGTATACGATGTAAATTCACTGCATTTGATCGAAAAACAGCCCAACTGTTCAATGCTACCTGGAGTTTAATTAAGCAAATATATACACACACACCAGAACATACACTATTTTCAGCACGTAGAGCTAACTCAGGCGGTGTCCCGGCTGCGTTAAGGAGCGAATACAGATCGTACACTGGCGTGACACAGGCACGGAACCCATACACGCAGTCATTCAATACGTAAAGGCACTGCTGAACAATTCAAGCCAGAAGTAATGAACAACCGCCCCCCTGTTGCACCCAAATACCAGTGTTGGGCTGAGCAGTATTCACTGTGAAGTGAAGACAAAATTAATACTTAAACGTTAGTGCAAACACATCGGACTCGACTCGACAGGCTTTGTCCCCTCTAGGGGATGACCTTAAGAGCCGGGGCACAGGTGACAGTTAAAGGGCGTGAACTCTGTACCTCCGGGGAGAGACTCCGGGAGCTCGGCGGCCGAGGCCCTCACACCGCCGAGGCTGTACGGCTTGTTGCTGCCGCAGACGGAGGGGCCGCCGCCGCCACCGAGGGCTTCAGCACCAGCCGCTCCCGCCCTCCGGAGCGCCAGCAGCGCGACCGCGTTCAACACCAGCAGGCCGAGACTCATGGCTTCCCTGGGGATGCAGCTCCCGTATCCTGGCCGGAGCGCCTATGTAAATAGGGTTGCTAAAACCGCACGGTACTGCATAAATCCCGGAACAAGCCTCGTAGGCGCCCGCTGCGGTTACGCCTGTATTTATTCTTTGTGCGAGTCTCCTATCCCAATTCAAGAGGCGCCCACCCCCCAGCAGCTGCATTTATTGGTAATCGCTAAATAACCCGTTTCTGAAGGCCTGGAAAACAGGTGTTAAAATTAAAACAAGCGATTTGATCGAATAAATTATTCGGAGACTCCTTGGAACAACAACTAGCGATACCCTTTAGCCCTCGATGATTATGGTCATGTGTATTGACCACGGTTTTAAGAAAACTTGCTTAATTGATCGATAACTTGCAATACCTTGCTAGTAATCCCCACCTTTAACAAACAGTGATTAAGGGCGACCTGCTTGACTGACGGGATTGAGGTTTTCACAGGACCAGGATTGGAGAAGCCTGTGGTTAAAGGAATCTTCACAAACGCAGAAGTCAGATATGGTTTCGAACCCGTCAATTCGGACACGTCTGTGGGGAGTTTGCATGTTCTCTCCGTGGCTGCGTGGGGCGTTTTGTTTTCCTCCACGGTCCAAAACACACGTGCCAAGATTTGAAAAGCTAAGCAAAATTGTGCAAGCACCCCCTCTTCCCATCAGCTGACCGAAGGCGGTTTGGGCTGTTGCACAAAAGCTAGCGAAATTATTGTAACTAGCCCAGCAAAGTTGGAGCACATAATGGTCTTTGAGATAATTGCTTTTAAATGCGCTATATAAATAACGTGTATTGCTGTTAGCCTAATGCAGGAAGAAACAAAAATAAGATACCTTACGGAAGACAGAGGCAAACGAGGCAGAAAATAAATCAGGTGACAACAATGAAATACAAAGTTACAATAACAGGAAATTATCAACCCGTGACAAATTGTTAATTGCTTTTATACAGCTGAACTAGCACTTTCTAGATTCAAACATGAGAAAGATGATACATGCATGTTCTGTAAGGCTGGTAAAGGAACTGATACATTTATTTGTCTCCTTTATACATACCAAGTTGTTTGGGGCTGACTTGCAAAACTTTATCTTTACATGTGGAAGTTGGATTTAAGGAGTTTGATATGGAGTTATACTTTGAAAGATGTCATATGGAAGATAACATTTATTTATAATTAATATGTTGGCGATATTGCGTAGTAATATCACATTCACAACAACAAAATGGTCTAATACTACGCTTACAAGGTGAAAATGGCAATATTGAACTCCGTTAAAAAAACACAATTGATGCACATAAAAAGTAGCGTATTGTTGTTGTTTTTTGTTCACTTGTCTTTTTGGATACCCTTTTTTCTTTGTATAATTTGATGTTCATGAAAACTTCGGGAACTCGAGCGCAGACCAAATTCAAAAGGCGAACAGCCGCACGAGCTCCGGTAAAACCAACTGTGATTTGGAAAACGTGGGGTGATACAGAACGCTTTGTCTTTTTTACCCAGTTTACTTAAAATATTCAAGTGTCTTTATTTTTAAAACTCGAGCCAAAGGCTTGTAATTTTTCAATTTTTGTTTCTACAGAAATCATCAAAAATGCGTTTAATGTTTCAAACGATGTCTTCGCTCCCCGGCTTGGGAAGAGTGGTACAGTCCGGTAAAGTCATATGATCCAGGCCGCCTCAGAGACACGGAAGTGTCAGTGTTTTTTTTTTAAAGTTAAGTGCGCAGTTATAGCTCTACTGCGGGAGTGTTTCATTCATTACTGGTCCATCACTGCCCTTTTTTGTCAAGATGCCTATGTTGCGCGGAGGAACCAGCGAGGCCAAACCCGCCACCGCAGAGGTGCAAGCGATCTGTGACGAGGTGAGTGTTCAAGTGGGAATTGAATTGTGAGTGGGTCGGGATGAGCTCTTCAGGTACTCTGTGCAAGTGAGTTTTGTTTTGTTATGTTGTCATCATTGTCACTGAAGTTCTTGTGTTGGGGTTATCTTGAGAGATGAAGAAAACATCTGGATCTTGGCATTGCGTGGGACGGAATATTGCAGCTGTCCTTGCAGGAGTCAACTGATTGAACACAGCCAGCCTTGATTACAGCCAGCCCTGCTCAATATAAACCTCACTTACCATCACAGTCAAGTTGCCAGCACAAAGATTCAACAAGCACATTATGGTACGATCAAAGGAAATTCCTGAAGAGATCAGAAAAACGTTGCTGATATCTATCAGTCTGGAAAGCATTCCAAAGCCATTTCTAAAGCTCTGGGACTCCACTGAACCACAGTGAGAGCCATCATCTCCAAATGGAGAACACTTGGAACAGTAGTGAATCTTCCCAGGAGTGGCCGGCCTGCCACAATTTCCCCATGGGCAAAGCGTAAAATCATCCAGGAAGTTACAAAGGATCCTAAAAAACCATCCGAAGAACTGCAGGCTTCTCTTGCCTCAGCCAAGGTGAGTGTTCATGACTGCACCATCAGAAGAGACTGGGGGCAAAAAATAGGCTTCATGGGAGAGGAGCAAGGCGGAAACCACTGCTAAACAAGAAGAACATCAATGCTCGTCTCTCATTGGCCAAGAAGCACCTGGATGATCCCCAAGCCTTCTGGGAGAATGTTCTATGGACAGATGAGTCAGAAGTGGACCTTTTTGGACGACATTGTCTGGCGTAAAGCAAACGCAGCATTCTACAGTGAGAACATCATACCAACAGTCAAACGTGGTGGTAGTGGGATGGAGTGGGAATGCTTTGCTGTCTCAGGACCTGGATGACTTGCCGTAATTAAAGGAACCATGAATTCTGCTTTGTATCGGAACATTCTTAAGGTCAAACGTCTGTGAGCTGAAGCTGAAGCGTAGCTGGGTCGTGCAGCCAGACAGTGATCCAAAACACAAAAGCACGTCCACATCGGAACGGCTGAAAAGAATCAAAATGAAAGTTTCGGAGTGGCCTAGTCCAGGTCCAGACCTAAACTGAATCGGGATGATGTGGCAGGACCTGAAACGAGCAGTGCATGCTTGAAAACCTACCCGTGTTTCTGAATTAAAGCAGTTCTGTGAGGAAGAGTGGGCTAAAACAAATATTGTATTATAGGAAGCGTTTGCTTGCAAGGTGGCACAACCAGTTAAGTGTAAGGGGGCAATTACCTTTTCACACAGGGCATATGTGTGCTGGATAATTTTATTAAATATATAGAATAATAATAAAAGTGTTATTTGTTCACTCAAGTTCCCTTTATCTAATTTTAGATTTTGTCTAAAGATCTGAAAACATCCAGTGAGATAAATATGCAATAATAGAGGAAATCAGGAAGGGGGCAAATACTTTTTTGTGGCACTGTAAAACCGAGGTCATGACTCTCCATGGTTGTTAAAAATCCCAGGGTGTTTCTCAAAGAGTAGGGGAGACCCCTGTCTCCTGGTCAAATTTCCCCCTGGGAAATCTCCTTTACCAATCATGGCCTCCTAATAATTCCCATCTCTGAACTGGCTTCATCACTCTGCTCTCCTCCCCACTGAGAGCTGGTGTGTGGGGAGTGGACTGGTGCACTCTGGCTGCCGGAGCATCATCCAGGTGGGGCTGCACAGTGGTGGTGGAGGGGATCCCCATTACCTGTAAAGTGCTTTGAGTGTAATGTCCAGAAAAGGACTGTATAAGTGTGAGGAGTTTTTATTATTATGGTCGCATGTACTTTGTAGGTGAAGGTCCAGGCGGAAGAAAAGGCTGGAGAGAAGTTCCAGGTCTTCACTGCGAAGGAGTTCAAGTCGCAGGTGGTGGCTGGGACCAATTACTTCATTAAGGTAAGAAAAATGAAGCTCATGGTTTTTCTAAACTCTTTCACTAAGTTAAACGGTCTTTTTTTTTACCTGGCACGTGCAGTCATTGTGCCATTTTGAATTTGACTGGTTTCATCCAGAGTGGATTGTATTTGTACATCAGGCTCTCTTATTGAAACCTTGCTCAAGGCTACAACAGCAGTGTCCCACCTGGAATACAAACCCACAACGTTCCACTTACAATTCCAAAGTTTGGACCACATCTCCACACTGCTATTTCCAGTCAATCGTTCCCTATCCATTTCTTCCAATTCGGAGTCGTGGAGGATCCGGAGCCTGTCTCTGTAGGCAACAGATGTAAGGCAGGATACAGGATGCACCCTGGAAGGGGATACCAGCCCCTCGCACAACGCACACAGACACACAAGCACTCGCACCAGGGCCTATTTTCCCAGAAGCCAGTTAACCTCCCAACATGCCTCTGGACTGTAAGAAACCTAGGTGAACATGGGGAGAGCGTACAAACTGCATGTGGGCGGTGCTCCAGGAATTGAGCCCAGGGCTCAGTGCTAGCCACTGTGTCATAGTGGTGCCCCACTGCTGTTTCATTCTTAATAAAATGACAACACCCCGACTCTCTACCTTTGAGTGCAGTGAAACTAGCCTGCGGAGATAGTCAAGTCTTTTTTTAAGACTGTAGTTTAAAAAGAAAGGGGGTCTTGTTCAGGCTTACACTTCCCAGGTGCAGTCGATCACGCTGCCTCAGCTTTGGTCATCCCGGAGAAAGGCCGTCTCGCCTCGCGTGTTGCTTGCTGTGCACATTCGGCAGAGTATTCCTGGTGGGGAGCCCCCTGAATCTGATGCCCTCACTTGCATGTTTCTCATTGTAGGTGCACGTGGGAGGAGAGGATTACCTGCACATCCGTGTTTACGAGACCCTGCCTCATGCAGGATCAAAGCTGAGCCTCCACAGTATTCAGACCTCCAAGGCCCAGCATGATGAGATTGTGTATTTCTGATCCTGCAGTGCTGTTGTCCAGAGCCTCACAGTGAAGAATGCTGTCATCACTACGCTTCCAGTATGTTTTGTAATTATGCAGTCATCTCTGTTGCACATTAAAATTAAGTTTCAAAGACCTTAAAATACCATCGTCATTATTTTTGTTCTGGGACATTTTTGGGCAAGGGGGATGGGTTGTTAAAATCTGTAATGTAAGTTTTAAGACTCTTTATTCTTTCTAGAAGAGCGTCTTCTGAATGGAGTAAAAACTGCTCATCAAGGAGGGGCAGCGCTAGAAGTGCTCATTGGTCTTGCAGTAGATGCCATTCTGTGCTGTGATTTTGGAAATGCTGTTTTCATTTTCCCCGTGACATTTTTTTTTTTCTCCTCCATTACCGGTTATATTTTGCCTTTGGCAATATTTACTGAAGGAGGAGTAAGAGGATTGACGGATTATTCACATTGCTGCTTGTGCATAAGGTACACACAGTCAAGAATTGTAAAGAGCAAAAAAACGATTTCCTTCTCTTGCAACATGGTGAAGCATGAAATGGAAACGCCTTCTTTTTAATGGATGACTTCTGTAAATGACTACTTATAGGGTGTTTTGGTCACAGTGGTTGCTGGTGAATGGTTATCAACGTAATGATTGAATCCACAGTGAAAACATACTTCCATGCCCAGCACGTCGAAGGTACAGGGAAAGCTACAAGCTGGTTGCAGATATTAGATGAAGGAGTGCATGTGGTCTAGTCTGTCAGACCGGTTGGTCTTTTTTAAAAGACTTCTTATTCAATGTTTTGTTGAAGACACTGAAAATTACACATGCTATTTTGATCTGAGCCAAAAGGCAGAGAAGTGAAAGAAGCAAAGACACTGAAAAGTAGTTGCAGGAAGTGTGCTGCTCCATTTAAAGTGACTCTAGTAGACTGACCCGTTATCCTCTCTGATACATATGAATCGGAGAACAGTGGAATATGGTGACCACCTGTGAGATGGGAGATGGCTTTAGAGACATGAGAAATTTCGCAAATACTCACTTAGAGCCTTCCAGCGACTCCTCCCAGTGAAATCTCCAAATCTTGCGCAAAAGTTGCGTCTGATTCCCAAGTTTGAATGGCAGCACAAATGTGTATTTTATCAAGATCAAGATAGAGCCCCAAATGTAATGCTTTTTTAACTCAAAGTCCATAGGCCATCTGTCTCTGTTGAGAGAGAAAGAGTCTTTCCACAATTATTTTCTTAAAAGAACTGATAAGCCCGTTCTAAATCTCTCTAAAAGGCCTCAACTGAACAAATGCATTTGAATCCTCAGTTCAGTCGTTCACTGGGTGCCACCCATGTTGGATAAAAAGTCCTTAACATTTTTTTTTTTAAATTTAATTGCAACAACAAAAAATACAATACAACATCATCAGGGGGTACATAATCCAGCGGCATTTTACAGAAAAAGATTAAATGATGTAAATAAAGATAAGAGAACCAAAGCTTTTGTGTTCTTACATTTAGAAATAGTTTGGAGATACGCCCCATTTTTCTATTTTAAGTGTTCAAATGTAGGTCTCTTCCCAGACCATTTCATTTTATGTATATAATAATGTGTATAATGACAAATAACAGTTTTGTATTTTTTTCCAATGGGGCTAAAAAGTAACATAACATCTCTTTCTCTTAAAACAAATGTCAGTATGTGAAACCTTCTTTTTTCTAATCTTGCAGATCGATCCAGAATTTTACAAACGGGACATAACCAAAACAACAACAGGAAACAACCAAAACAAATACTGTTTCTGGGCTGCCTTAGCAAAAAACACAGTTACCATCTATTTTAATTTTAAATCTATGCACAACATGAAAAAAGGTCCTTAACTATGCAGTGCCAAGAGTTTTATGTGTCCAAAGAAAATATTGAAGATGATGGTGATCATGACGATTCTTCTTTTTCTTATTGTTGTTGTTTGTTTTACCTTTGCTTCTCTTTTCCAATTAATTTCTACCACTACTATTCTGGTTTTACCTCTCAATAATGATTACAAGACATTGTGTACTTTTTTAGCCATGTCACTCTGCAACTCACCACTGGCAGCCCTACGAATCCCAGCAGGTGTGGGCCTGGTCAGTACCCGGATCAGAGACCTCCTGGGAAAGCTAAGGCTGCTGCTGGAAGAGGTGTTAGTGGGGCCAGTAGGGGGCGCTCACCCTGCGGTCCATGTGGGTCCTACTGCCCCAGCATAGTGACAGGGACACTATGCTGTAAAAAGGCGCCGTCCTTCGGAGGAGATGTAAAACCGAGGTGCTGAGTCTCCGTGGTCATTAAACTCCCAAGGCGTTTCTCTAAAAGAGTAGGGGTGTGACTCGGTGTCCTGGCCAAACTTGCCCCTGGCCTTTATCAGTCATGGTCTCCTAATTACCCCCATTGGTGAACTGGCTTCATCACTCTGCTCTCCTCCCCACTGAGAGCTGGTGTGCGGGGAGAGTACTGGAGCACTGCCACCACATCATCCAGGTGGGGCTGCACACTGGTGGGGGTGGAAGGGATCCCTGTTACCTGTAAAGTGCTTTGAGTGGAGTGTCTAGAAAAGTGCTATATAAAGTGTAAGGAATTATTATTATTATTATTATTAATTAATTACACAATGCCTTAATTTCCTAATGCCTTACGTGTGTTAATAACAGGGAGATTTCAATATTATTGTTCTGAAATCCCTCTGTAATAATAATATTCCTTTGGTTTCCCTTGATGGCTAGTTTAGTTCGTTAGCAGGAGCAGTACTGTGCACTCAGGCGCCTGCCCGGGCACCCCGGCGGGGTCTTCGCGTCGGCCTGCAGGTTCCCAGCTGGCGTTCAAGAGGCGCCACGACTTGACTTTCTGGTTAGCTGTTCACACCAAAATCAGTGCGAATAGGAATTTACCGCAGCTTGTGACAGGATAGACAGCTTTCAGCAATGATCCCCAGCTCCATCAACAAGACTCGCGTCGCCCCTGGCGTTTTTTTTCAGTGAGTTCAAAGGCTGCATCTGTAAAATATGTAGCAATTCTGGCGTGAATTCTTCTCTTTTGGGTTCAAGCCGGTCAGCTGCCTTTCTATGCAACCGGGAGAGCAGTGAGCAGTGTTTCCCAGATGTTTTTAGTTGCAGCGACTCGGCGGCTGCGAGAGAGGGCTGCTGGCTGGGGCACATTTGGCAGGAGAGTCAGTAGCGAAGGCAGCTCAGACTGCTGATATTTCATGAGTACGTCTGAGAGAAAGACATCATCGGGGCCACCTGTGGACGAAAGAGCATGCCCCTCGACTGCGGTGTCTGTGAATTGGTTTGAGATTCAAGGCAGAACTGCTCTGAATCGGTTGACTGCAAATGACTGCAAGGCGTGAGCAGTTTCAGCGAGTACTTCATAGAGAGGGATACGATGGTCGGGTTGCAGGGCTTAAACCCCTTATTACACCTGAGAAAATGCGCTTCTGTGAGTCAAGTGGCGCAAAGAGCGCAGGCAGTGGTCTACTGAGCAGTCATCTGGTGAGGAGTCATCCTTCCCCTTTTCCTCAACATGTGGATGAGTGTGCATGACCCAGGACAGGAGAAGCCTATACTAGCACTGAGCCCCTCACTCGGTTTCAATAAATAACACTTCGGAAGTTTTAGAATTGCTGTTCTCACTGACACCTTGAATTCGTTATTGGTGGCCGTATATTTGATGTGCTGTAACCCGCAGGTACTGTCCATGTCCGGATGTGTTGCCAACCCGGCGATTCAAACCCTTCATTTCCACCATTAGTACTGGTTCCGTGCCTCTTGCCCCCAGTATCGCCACCAACCTGTCAGCAAGTCCGCCTGCAGCGGAGAGCAGCCACTTGAGGAACGCAAATTCAAGCTGTCGTGCACAAGGGAGCACCAGGCTTGGGATAAAACTGTATATCCAAGGGAGCTCCTGTAACAACACATTGTGCCAATGTACTGTGTCCGCTCGCTACGGGACTTGCTCAGATTTGTAATGGTCTTTGGGGACGTATAGGTCTGAGGTTCTGTTGTTCACATTTCTGGGTACTGTTTCTACTTTATTATTATTGAATGTTCACTAAAGCTTGGAGAACACTGGAGAACTCCAGTAGCCCCAACCCCGTTTTGCATTTCGCGTTTAATTTAAAATTTGAGTTGAAAAATTGTATTAATGATTGATAATATTGTACAGGAATCTGTGACAATCGATTTTTATTTTTCAAACGATGTCTCGGCTCCCCGGGCTGGGGAGAATGGTACAGTCCGGTAGAGTCATATGATCCAGGGCGCGTCAGAGACGGGGAAGTGTCAGAGTTATAAAGTGTGCAGTCTGTACAGTGCAATCACAGATCTGCTGGCAGGGTGTGTTTCATTCTTTACTGGTCACATCACTGCTCTTTTTGTCAAGATGCCTATGCTGTGCGGAGGAACCAGCGAGGCCAAACCCGCCACCGCGGAGGTGCAAGCGATCTGTGACGAGGTGAGTGTTCAAGTGGGAATTAAAATTGTTCGGGGGGACTTGAATTCTGTCCGAACTTCATTGAGTGGAGTAGGATCAACTCTGAAAGTACTCAGCACAGTGTGTTTTAGTGTTATGTTGTTATAATTGTCACTGAAGATATTGTATTGGAGTAAGTCCTCTTGAGAAATACAATATTTAATATCCTGACAATGACTGTTCCTACTTGTGATGAAATACTTCAGCTGAGCTGCATCGCCGAGACCAAATGTTATTATACTTTTGGTATTTCGGTTTAAAGCCTCGTGCACTCTTCAGTATGCTCACGGATCTTTTATTCAAGTTACTCTCCAGATGTTTGCTTTTTTTTTAAAAAAAATCCTTACTGCTTTCATCAGCAGAAAAAGTGCTGGGTGCGATAAAGTCATGCTTCTCTCTAAAATGCAGAACGTTTTGTGACGGAGTCATCGTCATGGGTTAGAACTGACTAACGTGTGGTTACCATCTTATCCTGGTCTTTATCATACATCCACTCACGTCCCCAGGACATCTGCTGATCGTTCTAAACAGACTGGCCTATCTGAAATATTTCCTTTAGCACATCACCAGTAATGGCTACACGGACACACAGTTTTCACTGTATTCAGCATAACTGCACTACTTGTATATATTGCATACACCATGGACACAGCAGCTCTACTCATATTGAGTTTTATTCCGTTTCTGTTACATCTATTATTATGTAACCTTATTTTCATAACCTCAGTTCTGTGATTCTTGTGATTTTTGTGAGCTCGCAGAAAAGACATTTCATTGCCAGCAACTACTGCTGCACGCTGTATTGTTGTGCATTTGATAGATAAACTTTGATCTGAAATAGCAACACAGCAGTCTTGCCAATCGACCAGTTTACCTGTACTGGCAGAATGGGAGTATTTAAGCAGACTTGTATGCACACTAGCACCTAGAGTGGCCCTGAACCTTGACCCAGGTGTAGTATCTCCTGAAGGGTAACGCAGCCCTGGTCGCGTGTACTTCGTAGGTGAAGCCCCAGGTGGAAGAAAAGGCTGGAAAGAAGTTCCAGGTCTTCACTGCGAAGGAGTTCAAGTCGCAGGTGGTGGCTGGAACCAATTACTTCGTTAAGGTAGGAAAAATCATGCCTGTGGCTAATTTGAAAATCGCAGACAATTAGACTTTTTTTTTTTCCCTGGCCCCTGCAGTCCATTTGTCTGCATGTTTGTCCATTTGTCATTATGAATTTGGTTTTATCCGTAGCGGCTTATGTTGGTACACTTGCATACATCAGGGTGAGGCTGATGCATTTGACTGAAACCGTGTGCGTGACGCACTGTGCTCACGGCAGTGTCCCACCTGGAATTCGAACCCACAACCTTTCACTTGCAAGGCCAGAGTCCTGACCACATCTTCACACTGTTATTACCTTCTTATTAAGAAAGACAACCCACCCAGACTGTTTGCATTTGAGTGCAGTGGAAGTAGCCTGTGTAAATACTTTTTAGAATAAATGCATTTTTTTAGAGTTTAATTTACAAATGGGGAGCATCTTGCTCAGGCTTTCACTTGGACAGTTATACTTTCCAGGTGCACATGAACGCATTGCCTCGGACATAGTAATCCCGCAGAACAACTGTCTCACCTTGCATATTGCTCACTGTGCACGTTTAGTGGGGGTGTTCTGGTGGAGAACCCCCTGAGTCTGATGCGCGAACATGCATGTTTCACCTTGTATCTCCATTGTAGGTGCACGTGGGAGGAGAGGATTACCTGCACATCCGTGTTTACGAGACCCTGCCTCATGCCGGGTCAAAGCTGAGCCTCCACAGTATTCAGACCTCCAAGGCCCAGCATGATGAGATTTTGTATTTCTGATCCTGCAGTGCTGTTGTCCAGAGCCTCACAGTGAAGAATGCTGTCATCACTACACTTCCAGTATGTTTTGTAATCATGCAGTCATCTCTGTTGCACATTAAAATGAAGTTTCAAAGACCTTAAAATACCATCGTCATTATTTTTGTTCTGGGACATTTTTGGGCAAGGGGGATGGGTTGTTAGGTTTTAAGACTGCCAACAGTATCATTTCTAGAGAAGCAGATACCGATTGGAATCACTTGTGCTTGACGTGGAGGGGCAGCAATAGAACTGCGGTTTTCTTTTCTGTCTTTTCCCATGACATTTAAAACTTTTGTTCCTCCTCTAAGACCTATTACACATTCGAAAAGCTGCCTTTGGCAACACGTACCGAAGGGCAAGTGAAATGATTGATGGAGTTTTCTGTTGGCTGCTGGGGAATGCAGCCTGTGTGCTCTTCCAGGGCGTGAGCCGGGAACCCGGTGAGAGCACAAAACATGATGAATCAGAAAGCAGAAACACCCTTTTCTAAGAACCTTCTCTAAGATGACTGCTCTAAACACCCACTTGCAGCGTTATGTTCCTGGTTTCGGCCACAGTCGTTGCTGGTGAACGATCATCAGCATAATGAATGAATCCACAGTAAAAACGTCCTGTAGGGCTGCACCGAGCACCTCAATGCCACATGGACAACTGTAAGAAGGTTGTAGCGCGTAGGTTTACATTATATGGGAACTTTGAGTTCAGTATTAGATGCTGTGATGAACTGGCTGTTAAAAGACCACATGCACAAAATGTTTACAGCAAAGTAAAACAATTGTATTCACAACAGCACCATTTATGGTAAGCAGTGTTCAGTGTGTAGCGTTCCTCCCCTTGCTAATACACTGGGCTTTCCTTGTGCACCACTGGCCACACATCTTGTAATTCCATGCCGTTATACCCGCCTCTGGCTATGGCTAAGTCAGCAAACTGATTTCTGCTCTGAACAGATCTGAAAACGGCCTCTTGTTCCTTGGCAAAATGTTCCAGTTTAAGTGGGGCACTACTCAAAGATCTGAGCACACAGCAAGAGTTACAAAATCCTTTTTAGAGCCTTGCACCATTAGAGCTTCTAAAAATTCAGCTTGAGCCTCAGCTGCTCTCCTTGTGGGACTCTTTGCACACGAGTCAGTGATTTTGTGTCACTTTTGTTGCAGAAAGTAGACGGAGGCCCTGCAGTATCGCTTTCCTGAAAGCATGTTAGTACTTGTTGCAGTGGTATGGTTATGAGAGAAGCACAGCCTGACATGATTAAAAGTACACAACCCCTTATTAGTATAGGCACTCTTTTCTTGCAGTCCTAAAACAGATGTTTCAGTTGACACCGGCTAACATGTCTTTGCCATCACTTTAAACAGAGAAAGCAGTATGGTGAGCAAAAATGTCACAAGTCTCATCTTGTTCACTAGACCTTCTCTTCCTGTGCTAAAAACCTAATTAATGTGGTTGCATTTCCCGCACTAAAACACTTGTACGCTGCTGAAAAGGTATTCATACTTGATGTCAGGAACCTGTCGGAGATTCAAGACTCATCATGCGATCCTTATCGGTTGATAAAAATGCACTAAATAGATAGATTGTGGGTGACTGAACATATCAGTGCTGTTTCATCTCCTGTCATACAACTTTTGTGTCAGGATTGTGTCCTTTATAAATTAAAACAGCTCTGTAAGCAAGACAAGTGTGAGAGAAAGGGCCTGGAATGTGGCGCGGAAATTCCAAAAATGTTACAGCTGTATTCCATTTGCCCTGTGCGTGCAATTCCATAGAAAGAGGTAGATACTGTGAAAGGTTTATTATCTAATCAGGCTGTCTGCTGTAATGCTGCTGATTCGGTCAAAGAATGGCTGGGCTTTTCAACAGGTTCCAGCTAGTTCCTGGGTAGCAAACACCACTAGTTTGCCTGGGCCATGGTCAATTAGGCCTCGCTTCGCAGAATCCAAACACAACACGCCATTTGTGGAAAGAGCCTGCTTTAGCAGTCACATGCAAACTCAACAGCATGGAGACCACAGCCGGCCTTGGAAAACAGTTTTCATTCTTATAAAACTTTTTTTTTTTTTACAAGGTTTGTAAAAAAAATAGCGATTCACAAACATTTGAGAAGTTTGTCTAATGAAACTACGGCGAGATGGAGAGATTCCTTGATGGATGCAGGAAAGGAAATCCCGGTTCTTTGATTTCGGTGGTCCGCGGCGGCATAACTACCATGATTCCATTTTCATTCCAGACATTGTGACAAACGCCACTTCACAGACGTCACTGGTGCTTCGGGGGAGAAAAATGAATCCAGCATCTTTCATTGAACACCTGGATGAAGAACAGTAAACATACTGATTATAAATAAAATCTTATTTACCCTTTGGACTGTTAAGCATTCAGTTACCCACTTATAAACAAATCCTTCAGGTATCTATAAGAGAAATTAATCATATATAGTGAACCAAGCACCTTGAACGTCACCGGCTGTTTTCTTACATGAGGTATAAGGATTTTTGCTTGGACGCTAATAATTGGTTTTACTTACATGTCTAGATTTTATATCATGTACTTTCAGCAGCTGGCCCTGAGGCATAAATGCATCAATAATAAAGTCATTTCAATAGATGTCTGCTTTATAGTCTAACACATTCCAGGGGGACAATGATAGCACAGAAACAGAAGGTGTACATCATCTTCTCCGTTTTGGGCAGAGGAGAAAGATGTAATTTTTTCTTATGCTGTCATACCTTCAAGCTTCTGTCATTGACAACTTCTTCAACATTTAATTCTGATTGCATAAACTTCAGCTGCAACACACACAAAGAAAAAATATTGTGGTTAATTATGACATACATTTAAAAACTAGCACAAATACAACATTTATAAACGTTTTGCTGGTCAGTCATTCTGCTCCTTTTTGTCTGCAAAGCGAGATGTACTAATGCGCCTTCAGGTTGTAGGGCTTTTGGTAAGAGATAGCACGCCCTCTTGTGGCTCAACTGTGCATTACCTTGGTCTGCTCTTTCCTGAGTTGCTTGATTAGTGTAAGGTTATCGGCATCCTTCGCCCTCTCCTCCCGCAGCTGGTTGACCACACTGGACGTCTGGGCTATACAGGACTTTATTGCCTTATCTCGGCTGACATGGGCTTCCATTAGCTGGAAAAAAACAGAACACGACACGTAAGTGATCAAAGCTAGCATAAACACATGTGCAGGTATATTGCTCAAAGCCAGACTTTTTATTGCCGCTTTCAGATCTCTTTTATTTTACAAACCCTCTTCTGCATTCATATTCATGCACCGTGTTGGGGAATGGTGCAAGCAGGCAGCACTGATCAGTCTGCCCAAGTACTTACAGACTCGTACAGCTGTTTGCACGTCTGCGTGGCATCGACCTTCCCTTTGAAAGACGCAGTAGGGACAGTGGTGTTCAACTCGTGGACTATCCGGTCATCGATGGTGCGCATCGCCTTTAGGACTTCCTAAACGAGGGGGGGGAGGGAGAGAGAGAGAGAAGCGAATGAGGAAGGGAAGCAAGAAAAACTATCATCAGGTTTGACCAGATACACTGTGCAAAATATTCCTCAGCTGACCCTTGCCAGTACATCAAGATTAACAACAGAACGGTTACAAACGCAAGGAAGCCATTCGACCCATCTACCTTGTTAGGCTAGGTAGTTAGTAGTTAAATGATCCCAGGATCTCTTCTAGCTGTTTCTTGAAGGAACTTCAGGTTTTAGATTCAGCATCATGAGAGGCATCTTGTTTGAAACTCTCACAACCCTTCGAGTTGAAAAGTGTCCCCTATTTTTGGTTTTAATATTTGTTAGGAATGACATCTGTCTCCACAATAGGGCAGTATTTCATTGCAAGACAGCCCTCCAGCATGACCACAGTATTTGCCTCTTTTTCAGCAGACAGACATAAAAGAGCCATGTGCACCCCCATGTTACCAAGTGCTGGACCAGACAGCTCCACCGAGTGAGTGTATGTGGTCCAGTCACAGCCAAACCAGCTGGTCTTTTTCAAGGACTGCATGTTCAAACTTTTGTTAAAGACATTGAAAAGTAACCTTAGAAAGTGTGTTGATGCACTGAAAGCCACTCCAGTAGCCTGAACATTTATTTTTAGACACTGAATCACTAATCACTGAACAGTGGGCTATGGGGATTATGTGTGAGATCAGAGACAACTTTAGGGACAAAAACAAATACCCACTTTTCCTGCAGCAATAACTTGTCAGTGTTTAATACATTTCTATGAAGTAAAGTCACAAGTTCTACAAGCTATCAGTTCCCTTCTCATCAGTGTCTGTTAATGAAGTTATCCTGTTTAGAAGTCTCCTAGGACAGGTCATGAGAGCAGCAGGCGGCTCCTTCAAATTAATTCTGACAGCCTTGTCCAAAAGTGTATGTTTTATAAAGTTCAAGATACAGTTCCACATTTAACGCTTTTATTCGAGACTCGAGGTCTATATACCAACTGGCTCTATTTAGAGTGGAAGTTTTCCCCTCAGTTACTTTCTTAAATGAACTTATAAACCTTTCCTAAACGCTCTCTTTCTAAAAGGGGTGAACTGAACAAAGGAAGCTGAAGCCCAGGGGAAGAATTGTTTTTTTTTTTTCAGGGGAAGAATTGTGCAACTGGTTCGCTTCGCTCCTCCTCCTGCCCACTAGTACGTACACACGTACGTCAGTAACACATGGATTAAGACAATTTAATTAAACAGTGTGAGCAATAATCACATTTAAACAACGCATTTTTATGCCTGTTAAGCGGATTCCCATTCTACATCTCTGTTATCATGAATTAACTATCCTTTTCTTTATAAAAAAAGTAAGACTTCCAACCACATAAATGCATTGAACACATTATTTAACGTAAGGGTCACACCATTTGAGAATTTAATGAAATAACCAACAACTCAACCTCTTCCATTTTAAATAAAACAATAAGTGCTAACTGCACCTACTGCGTCCTCGATTGCTCAATGTCCGATTTAGTTGGTTTTTTTTTTTTACCTGAAACATCGAGAAGTCCTCACAGTTCAGTCTTCCACTGGGCGCCGCCATGTTAGATAAAAGGTCCTTACCAATTCAGAGCCAAGAATGTTAGGTGTCCAGAGCATATCCTGAAGACAAACCCAATAATATAGAAAAAAACGCGATGTATGGCACTGAATTAATTATTAATTATTATTATTATTATTGTTGTGACTGTTGTTGCTGTTATTGTTTTGCATTTGCTTCCCCGGTCCAATTCATAATGATGACAATACTGTGAAGTTACAAACTGTCTTCAAACTACTTTCATAACTTTCAATATTATTACATTGTGGTCGCATATCCCTTTGGTTTCCCTTGATGGCTAGTTGAGTTCATGTTAGCAGGGGCAGTACTGTGCACTCAGGCGCCTGCCCGGGCACCCCGGCGGGGTCCTCCCAGCAGACATTCAAGAGGCGTCACGACTTGACTTTCTGGTTAGCTGTTCACACCAAAATCAATGGGAATCGTCTTTCACTGCAGCTTGTAACACGATAGACAGCTTTCAGCGATGATCCTCAGCTCCATCAACAAGACTCGTGTCGCCCTTGGCGCCCTCTTCGGTAAGTCAATGGTTATATGTAACAGTTCTGGTGTGAATTGTTTTATTTTGGCTTCACGCCGGGCAGCTGGTTTCATAAGTAACCGGGAGAGCCGTGATCCGTGTAATATTTGGACAAGTCGCAGCAACATCCCTCCGTATCTGCGCAGGTCCTGTTTCGAGAAGGACTTAGGGGAAAAAAAAACGTATCGCATTTTGTTGTAACTCTTAGCAGATTACATTCGGACCCTTAAGTTTTTTAAACACTGGAGGTGAGTACAAACACAGTTTCCTTTTTGGTAAAGACATGAACACAACATCGGAAACGGAACACCATGTTGCAACTTCCAAATTTCCCCGAAGTGTTTTGTTCCGTAAACTACGGTAAGTCGGCACGCAATGTCCGTAAGTGTCACACGTGTGTTACACACAACTGTAACATACGTACAACTTGCTTATTTGTCATTCCGGGCATTAATATAGGCGCTTGCACACACAAATAGTCAGAAGCGATGTCGGAGTGTGAAGTGACTGAGAGGTCTGCTTCTTGTCAAAACTAGACTGCAGAAAAGACGAGGATCTGGTTGCTAGGTTTTTTTTTTAAACTCTTTAGCTGGAATTCCAGCAACAAGTTCAGAAAAGTGCTTCACACCGTCTAAATAAATAATACTTATACCGTATTATAAATAATACTGATACCTTGAATTTGTTATTCTTGGTACATTTCCTTTGATGTAACCCGCAGGTACTGTCATTTCCCGGATGTGTTGCGAACTTGCAATTCATCGTGAATCAGCCTGTAGGTGAAAGTAGCTACCTGTGGAATTCAAATTCAAAGCCACCGTACGGCCCGGAGCTTTGTATACACGAGTTCCTGGTAGAACACCTTGTACCGGTGTCCTGTGTCCACTGCCGGAGGGGTTTCATTGTCATGTCGCGTTAGAAGTTGTGGCTGATTTTTGCCGAGTCAGTCTGATTCGTTAAACAGATGAGCGAGAGGAAGGTGTAGCTGCTCCCTTACTGTCGCTGCATGTAACACAAGTCACAATTTCTCCCTGGCAGGGCATGTGAGACGTGCTGGACCAGGAGCCCAGAGTGCCAGGAGGCAGCTGTGCAGCAAACCGCAGCAGAGCCACTCCGAACCCACAGCCCAGTCTGCACTCCCAAACTCCGGAGAGGCAGGTTGGTCCTGACCTGGCAAATACACAGCTGGCTTTTCCGAACACGGTTCTGGCTTCTGACTTGACCAAGAGGGGAACTGTGATTTAATTTCAGCTTCCTGGTTAAGATCCAGTGAGCTTCAGAAGGGAATTCAAAGCAAATCCAATTTGTAGCAATCAGTGTAATCATATTTCAGCACACCCTGCACGTGCTGTACGGGGTTGGAAATCACAGCAGGATTTTGCGGATGAATAGTGATATTAAAAAAAACAATGTATTTCGGTTTGCAGAACCTTTCGTACACTTCAAGATTCGACTTACAGATCTTTTGTCTGTCATAAAGAGTCTTGAAATCCTCTAAGTCTTTGTGATAGTCTTAAGATAAGATCACTTTATTAGCCATATACAATTTCTTTCAGAGTGCAGGGTCAGGCATTTATATGGTGCCCCTGGAGCAGTTGGGGTTAGGGGCCGTGCTCAGGGGCCCAACGGATAAGGATTCCTCTGCTGGCGCGGGATACGAACCGGCAACCTTCCAGCCACAGGCGCAGATCCTGAGCCACAGAGCCACCACTCCACCCCGTCTTCAGCACAAGTTTCATACTTTGCAATGGTGTCACTGCCCATACCTACAGTGTTAGGCCTTGAGATCTGTTGGCACTATCTGGTGGGTGGACAGAGAACAAGTGACATTGTAGCATGGCGGAATAATCCTGTCATAGATCCTACACAACGCTATTGATGTGCACTGTATACCCACTTTTTCCTTTGTCTCTGTAATCATTTCCAATTCTGTATAGGTAGTTTTTATTCCATGCTGAAGCTGCTGCACTGTGATTTAACTGCTGAAAATAACCCACTGTACACGTCATTCTCTAAAGTCACCTGATAGCACAGTTGGCCTCTTTTCAATCTGGCTAACACTTGCTTGTTGGTTTGTCCTGTGATGCAGTCCAGCCAGGCTTCAAAATACCTGGATACAAGCTGTCGGATTTCGATAAGAAAATCCTGCTTTGGGCCGGTCGCTTCAAGACCAAGGAGCAGATACCAGAGATTGTGTCGTAAGTGTGAGGCTTTGCCCTCCTTTCCACTGCTTGTTTATTTTAAGCAGAGGCAGAGTTACTATGATCTCCAATAGCAATAAAGTGGATGGGTGCAGTTTTCATTGTCACTAAATTGTGTTCTATGAGCTCTGGGCTATGTGATTGGCTTGGAAACATTATTGGCTTATAAACAGAGGGCACAAAAGGTTAGAGCTTTTCCAGGAATGTGTTATCCTTTCCCCTTGAGTGAGGTAATTGCCAAATTCCAGTAAGTATATTTACCCTGG